CAGACAGTGAAAGACAAAAGGAGACAGTCAAACCCCTGACGCTGACAGTATCGAACAAACCTGTGGGCTCAAACGTTTAATGAGGTCTGTCTGGTGGCTTTGGGGTTTGTTTCAGACAAATTCAGTAGTCAACTGGTGGCTATCAGTCATTTTCTTTGCAGAGTCTCTTCATTTGGGAGGTTATTCTAGAAAAAAAGCATCAAGAATATCTCTACTAATGAGCCCATCCTGGTTAAATGACATTTGCATATATGAGATATGCACAAGGCAATAATTGACAATCAAAAACTCTTCTGGGAATCCTGTTCTAAAGAATGTCTTTGTATTTATTTCCTGGAAATTAAATGATTTTGATGGAATTGTGCACGTTCCCCATTCATCCATTCTTAACCAAATATTTTTGGCACTATAACTAAATTTAGGCAGACTTGTGGCTCACCGGGCCACTAGTCCAAAATGCTCAAGTCCCACTCTGCATACCTCGGCATTCATGTATGTCAGTAGTGGGCACCTAAAGGGGGTCACAGTGATCTTTAATGCTGATGTATTGAACAAGGACAATAGAATGTCAAACCACGTACAAACCAGCAACAGTGAACTGTGGTTTGAGGCCTACCTGAAGGCTCTGTCATCCAGGCGATCTGCATTGACTGTGTGCACACAGGAAATCCACCTGGAGAATTCTGAGCCTGTGACACTGTGTTATTAGCGGTCTTTCATAGATAAAGCCTGAGGGAGAGGTGGTCCATAAGTCTGCCGAGGAAAAGAGCACAGCTGCGGTGATGCATGTGTCCATCAGTGGCCGGTCATCACTGTGTGCTCTGCACTGGACTGGCTGGTCACTTCTTACGTTTCCATTCATCAGCTGGAGTTCTTTTCATGATCACTGACGTGAGATCACTAAAAGAAACATGGACTTTCTCTCTGCTCCATTGGTGGGTGTCACAGTTTCCAGTTTAATTAAACTCCTTCTGCCTGTTGCTGTCATCAGCCGGCCTGCTCAGCTGCAGCAAAGATCGCATGTTGATGTGTTATTAAAGCGTTTGTCTACGGCCAGTTATTAGTTCAAAGTGAAAATCAGGTTTTTAAACATTGTTATAGTTTTGTGCTGTTCAGAGAAGAACCCCACACATACACACAGTTCCATGAGCCTGCAGACAGGAATGAGGGCCAATTCTGTTCCCGGCATTGTGCACGTCCCAAACGAGTGGGACAAACAGTCTCACCCCTTCATCAGTCCAGACCTCTGGAAGGTTTGCATGTGGACTCTGTGCAGTAGCTGTGTCCCGCTGTAAAAGCTGCTGGGGGCTCTCTGAGTGGAGCAGGCGCTCCCTGTGTGGAGTTCTGCTCCAGTGCAGGCGTCCTGGGCTTGATTCTGGCCTACGGCTGTTTCCTCCATGCCCCCATTTTTGCTTGGAAATGTATTTGATCCGTTCTCATACAGATATATAAGAATTTCAAGAATGTATTTGAACGTTTTCTAAAGCAACAAAATAGTTGGTTTTATTTTGTATGTGCTGGTGTGTTAGTCCTCCCATGCCTAAACAACACAGAACATACTAATCCAGGGCTCCACCAACTTCTCATGGTTCATCCAGGACCAGTGGCCTCTGGAGGGTCATCTGCTTGCCAGTCATCCGTCACTCACCCATCGTCCACCACAGTCCACAGAGGCACTGGTGAGGTTCAGTGTTGATGGCTGTTGATGTGGCTTCCTGCATTCAGAGTGAATCACAGTGCCACTGAACCAAAAGCAGCTTTGCTCTGCCATCTAGTGGCTCTGGTGGGTTAGTGTAGCTCAGCAAAAATTTGATCCAGTGCAGAACAACTCTGTTTATGAAAATGTATTTATGAAAATTTGCTCAGTTTCACAGGTTGAGAACCACTTTCTTTTTTTTTTCTTTTTCTGCTTAAGTATAACTTAGACTCGTTCAAAAGATGTCACTGTCTCTAGAATGGGAGGTTTTCTTTTTAGGCAGTGTGGTAGAATGGAATAGACTGGTTGAATGAGTTTTATCTTCCTCCCCTCTGTCATTTTGTCTGGATGTTTGTGTGTAAAACACATTTGAAGAGAACCACAGCTCTTTTCCTCATCCTATTACAACTCTCCTTCACTCAACGGTGCATTCTCTCCTTGTATCTGTTGCAGAGCAACCGGACACCAGCAGCCCATGTAATCCCTCTCAGTCCTGTTGTAGCAGGGCTTTCACAGATGTAATGAGTGGGCATGTTTCCTCATTGTTTGCTTTGAACAGGTGGTAAAACGTCCAGTGTGAGAGGTGTATCTTTTGTTTCTGGTCTCGCTGCTGTCACACACATCTGTTGAATGCCGTATTTATGATCAGTCCCACTTTTGCCTTTGTTACGAATTGGTTACATTTCTCTTGTTCCTCTTCGGCTGCCACTCCGTCTCCTGTGAAAGTTAAAAGTATAGCGCAGTCACTGGGTCAGTCAAAGAGCTCAGGAACAGTTTGGATCAGATCATTCATAAACCCAGCTGCTCAGAGCCACTACACCACCTCCTGGGCTGATGTGGGCTGGACATGGTATGGTCCAGTTACACAAAGCTGTTGGTTTCTTAAATCTATGCAGTCTTTTGAGGCCATGGTGGGTTTGCAGATGGATCCTTCTGGACTTTAGACATCATTGACCTATTACAAGAATGAGGAAAAACGATCATTAGACCTTGATGGATCACTTACCTTACATAGGACGACTTCAGACCCTTAGTTTAATAGTTTATCACACCACTGATCAAACGTTCAAAGACCTACATGTGAGCTCTCAGATTTAGAGTGGTGTGTATTTGTGTGAGTGTGTGTGTGTGTGTGTGTTGTGTGTGTTTCAGTGCATCGTGATAATCTCCTTGAGCTTTGTAAGTCGCCATGGCTGAATCAGATTATCAGATAGAACATGCAGAATTGGAATACCTCCGAATGCAGCATGTGAACATTTCAGGAGCTGTGGGAGGGAAGATGTTTCTGCGTGGAGCAGTGGCACACTGGCCTACATCGCACAAGTCTACTACATGAAAAGGCTTCATTCTTGGTTTTCACTACTTTAGAATTCAGGGCCTGCCTAGGATAAATGTGTGAGCCTGTCTGCAGATGTGAGTGCAGCAGATCCCTCTGTCCAGAGCAGTCCTGTGCTGATGAAGAAACACAACAAGCTGAGTGAATGCTCCAGGATCAGACGCACAACCGACAGCACTCACTTGGATTCAAATCGAATCCTCTTTTCTAAACATTTAATCCTTTATCGTAGTGTGCATACATGTGCATGTGTACAGATTTTATGTATCACATCTGTTATCCACAGAAACCCATGCTTCCATTAGGAAGCATAGATTGAAAGCAGTTAGGAAATCCATCTAACTGATGGCTGAAGGTTTTTGTGAACCGCCTGCGACCACTTTTAGAAAAGAGTTTCACAGTATATCCACTTATGATCCTGCTTATGATGAGGTAGTAGAATGAATGAAATGTTTGCTTGAAGGAGTTTCACCTCTTATGTGAGTCTTCTATTGGTCGTGTGTATGTTAGAAGGCAAATGAAAGAGGACAGAAGGTGTGTACACATCTGTATGCTGCGCATATCAGGTGGCTGTACAGTTTTATAAAGCAGCTTTTCAGCTGACGCAGCAACACCTTCAGTGATTAAAAAAAGCAAAGTCCCATCTGTTAATGGACACCGAGCATGAGTGGACATGAGCAGGAGCTCATGAATGAACTCCAGACTGGTACCCCCCACATGTTATTCAGAAAGCACCTTTACATCCACACACGTCTCCACACATGAGCAGATGGTGCAGTCCTTTGGTTTTTACTGTGTTTCATGTTTTTTTGCTCTGCTGTGTTGGGATTATGCTGTTTACCAATCGGATTTCAGCCCACTCTGCAGCGATGATGTGAGATGAATGGCAGGCAGGTTAGTGGCTGAGGCACTCGTGCACTAGGAACACTGGATGCTGGGTTTTTACGGCACACTGTGATGGAGCAACTCTACATTTCCCAAGCTTCCTAGTTTGTGAGTAGAGACCCTCACTGACCACCTCCATCCAGGTAAGAGACTATAATAAGAGACTGAAATAGGAAAGGGACATCAAAAGGCTAGTCCGGTATAACCTAGGTGTCCATGTCCAAAAGGGAAATGAATATGAGCTGCAGGCTCACAGCAAGAAACTAAATGTGATTTAGAAATTGAATGGACAGTGGATTCTTTCTTGATTTTGAACCTTCCTAATCTAGTTGTGGCCGGTAACCTGTCCAGGTGTTGTCCCTCTCCCTACAGCTGGCCTCGGCTGCGGCAGCCATACCCTGAAAGACGGTTTACTTAGTCACCATGACCACACTGCATCTGACCCCTTGCTTCATGTCGGACCGTAGTCCTTTTTTCAGTTTTCTAACCTATGGTTGATTCTTTTTTACGTGTGTTTCTCTCTGCCTTGTGAAGAGTTGGCATAAATGTGCCAGGACAGTGTTTCCAGACTATATGGCGAAAGCTTGCTGCAAATGTTTATCATGTTTGGTTTCCAGACTTTCTAATCATCCTTTCGCTCTCTGTTGTCTGGGTAGTAGCTGAATGAATATGTGTTTGTGTGTGTGTGTGTGTGTGTGTGTGTGTGTGTTTGTGTGTGACATTAAGAAGCCAGAATAGCTCTTAATGTTGGCTCCCAGCTGATCTGCTTCGTGCATTGTATGGTATTATCACACGTATTGTCAGAAGTGTCTACAGTAACTCTTAACGTTTTAGGACTTGTGTGTCTGCTCTCATGCACGGATCCGTTTGAGATGGTTAAGGACTGGCTCACATTTGATTAGGCAGGAGGAAAGGCATGTGAGGAAATGTAATTGGCTCCTTCAGTTGTTGAGAGTTTGCAGCACGCTTCAGGTGTGACTGATCATAACACTTGTAATAGAATTATATAATTCACATGCAATAAACATTTGAAGATTTGACTATTCATCCAAATATTGCTGAATGCTTTGCCCCCTCCTGCAGGTCAGTGTTTCCTGTGTATGGTGGATGTGGTGCCAGTGAAGAACGAGGATGGCCTGGTGATCATGTTCATCCTGAACTTTGAGGTCATGACTGAGGACACACTCACACAGGAGCATAAACAGGAGCTGAACCACCGCCTGCCCACCTGGCTCGTCACAGGTAGTTAGGAACTCTCCGAGGTTTCGTCACCACATGTGAAAGGTTTAAGAAAAGGCTTTAACTTCTGACCAGCAGCCCTGAATGTATGACACTGTCAGAGGGGTTAGCATATCTCACGACATACCCTGATGGACAGACAGAGAATTATCTCCATGACATGCATTTTTTCCCTCAAGTGAAGGGAATTTACACTTAATTTCAGATGGATTATTTATAGATTGGATTATTTTTGCATTCTCTTGGTTAAGCTGGGAAATAGTGGCTAAAGCCAAAAACTAATCAGTGTCCCAGACCTCCTGATTTCAAGGATGAGCCACCACAGATCGCCTATTCTCTTAACTTCAACCATCTGTAATATCTTTTGCTTTTAGTTTTTCCAAGTGTATTTATTTATTTACTTTCAAAATGTTTCAAACAATCACATCTTCCAATTTCCCACGCGTGTCTGCCTGATCCCGATCCTCACACTTCACACTGTAAACTTCACAATCAGAAATCCACCTCTCTTTCCTTCCCTCCAGGTCGTCCACGAGGCTTTAAGCTGCGTTTTCCCCCGCTGCGTTCCTTGTCCAACAGTAAATCTTCACTTGATGACCCAGAGGCTCGTCACGTCCCCATCGCCACACCTCTGCCACTGCATCCGAACCACAGCAGTCACAAGTCCTTAGGCCCGGGGGAATTCCTGCCCCTCTCGTCTCTACCACCAGACCTCAGTGGAAGCAGGTGGGATCTCATATATATACAGAACATATATACTTAGAGAGAGAGAGAAAGAGAGAGAGAGAGATAGGGTAAGACTTAGGGGAGGAGATGATCTCTGAAGAGTTGAGTCTTTACGAGTTTCTTAAAGATAGACAGGGCCCCCCGGCTCTTGGTCCACTCGGTAGGTCATTCTACCATCATGGAATGACACATGAGAAGAGTCTGGATTGAGTTAAGCCTGGTTTAGGATCTGCTAGACCACAATCCATGACTGGATTGACCCTGTTGTGACATGAGACTTTCCCAAAGTATTCAAGAGCCCTTAAGCACTTTTTAGGCTGACTTCAGTGACATGAATTCTATGCAGGCGGCTAGTAGTAGCCAATGAAGCTCAGTGAACAGAGGGTGGACCTGGGACTTTTTGGGCTGATGGAGGACCAGACGTTACAGCGTTCTGGATAATTTTTTAGAGCTTTTACAGTAGGGGCTAGGAAACCTATCAGGAGAGCGTTGTGACAGTCCAGGCAGGAACTAACCATAGACTTCACAGTAGCTGGGAGGCATGTTGGGTTAGGTACACCTGGATACTCCTCGTGTTTAGCAATGCCAAGAGAGAGTGGAGTAAAACCCAGATTGGTTTGTATCAAGGAGGTGGTCTTGTGAGAGGTACTCTGACCTGATTAAAGGCTGCTCTTCAGTGGTCTGAGAAAGAAATAGGAGGAGATAGTTCTCCAGCTGAGTAGGTGGGAGAGAAGGTCTCTTGATCAGCAGTGGAACTGAAGTTTACCTGTATGACTTAGGAAATGTGCCGGATGTGATGAAGCATCGATGTGACTGCTGCACTTACCGTATGAGCTATAGACTGGTATCAATTAATTACGTTTCCATTTGTTGGAAAGCAGCACCTTGCCCACATGTAGGAGAGGTGTTGGAGAACATGCAGTTGGTCTAAAGGGCAGCGGGGCAGCCTTGTGTTAAAGCTAAATCAGGTCTCAGTGAGAGCCAGGAGGTCAGGTGACAGGTGTCGGACATAAGCAGGCATGAGGTCTGCTTTGTTTCCTACTGAGTGACACTTCCACAACCCCACAGACAGAGTGAGGTTTCCTTTGGAAGGAAGAGGTTTTTTAGGTCGCAGTGCTGTTTGGTTATGCGAAACCTTCTACCTGAGCAGGACACAACAGGAATGGGTATGAAGCACATTTTAAATGCGTGTGTTTGGGCAGGAGTAACAGCAAAAAGACACTGCCTTGTTCGGTGGTATTCAGTGGACACGCAAGTCTTTACCCGAGAAGGACTGCTCATGTGACGGGTAACTCTGCACCTGACTGAGGCAGGAAGTACTTTTAGTGACAGGACCACCCAGCGAGAGTTTACAGACACATTGTGTCAGGGAGGGGAGTGACTGATTACTCTGACTGGTTTGCCTACTAAAGAACAGGTTTCACTCACAGAGGGGTTTGTATCACTTGCATATATGGTTTTAAAGAAGCTTAGAAAAAACTTAGACTGGCAGACATACGAGGCTCTATCTGTGCAGTTCCCCCTAAAGTGTGTGAAAAGGCAGCAGCTTTATGATGAATTATTATGAATTACAGAAAACCTTACTAGATTTGTCCTGATCCTTGGCAAACTCTGGATTGTTTCCTTTGACATTAAATGATTTTATGCACAACGTAGTGTTCTCATGTGCCTCAGTGTTCTCCAGTGTTGTCATTAAACATGATGTTTTCTTTCCCATTTTTAAGTTAAATCACTCCCTTTAATTCATGTTCTTGCTAATATGCACCCCAAAATCTGTAAAAAATACATACATTTTCTACTTTTTTCCCTAGGTCAGTTCTTCATAGTTGGCCAGAAGACGGCCAGGAAGACCAGCGCACGTTACTGTGTTCAGAGCATCCTGTGACCCCCCCCCCCCCCCCACAGTGCCCATCTGGTCGGTCCTCTCAACCAGTCGTCGCCTTGCGTAGGAGCCCACCATCGGCTCAGCCTCAACCCAGACGGCTCAACCTCGAACTGCTCCCTGTCTCACAGCCGCTCACGGGAAAGCTTCCACAGCATGCGTCGCGCCTCTTCTGTAGACGAAATCGAGGCCATGAGGCCCGATTGGGACCGAAAGAACCGGAGGGCCAGTATCCGGCCAGCCAGCAGCAGCACCGGTGAGGAAGAAGAGAGGTTTCTATTCTACTTGTTCAGGCTGTAACTCACTGGATTTATCTGCTTACAGGTGCAGTGAACAGCAAGTCAAACATTTTGAACTCCACATCAGATTCGGACCTGATGCGGTACCGTACAATTTCCAAGATCCCTCAGATCACCCTCAACTTTGTGGATTTCAAGCCAGACCCACTCATCGCCCTGCCCCCCGGGGAGATGGACATCATAGCTCCCTGCAAACTGATTGACCGGACACACAACGTCACAGAGAAGGTCACACAGGTAGAGTGCCGTCCACAGGTGTCGTGTAGGCTGTCCAGAGGGGCGTGAGTGTATCTGCACCTCCACATTTTGTCACTTTGAGCCAGCTGAATTGTATCTCTGCTGCCGATCCCTTTGAACTGTGGGGTGTGGTATTGGTCATTATTTAGATCAGAGTGCATGTTCCTATATGCAAAGAGAAGGTAGTGAGTCGTTGGAGGGTAAGCAGTCCAAAGAATCTTCAAAGTTTCATGTGATGAGTCTGGTTTCCATAGGTTAAAGCTTGGAAGTCTAGGCACTGAGATCCAGGTTGATGGTTAGAAATGGCAAAGGAAATTTGTCCTACATCACGAGATGGTAGTAAACAATCTGGTGAAGACTCGCTGCCCCTGGTAAGTAGGATGCCTGATGAGGTAATCATCCTCACAAAGGGCTGGAAAAAACACGTTTTACTGTAAATCATTAAACATATCATGAATTTTAAGAGAGACATGAATTCTGAGTTTGAAAGTGGTATATATTGTGTCATCTTTCTGGTATTAGTTTGCCCAATTGTTGATAATTGTGTAAATCTTATAGGGACAATACAATAGGTTCCCAACTTTTAAGACTGTCCTTAGTTGCCAACCAACCGTTGAACAGGAGTATGCTGGAGACCAGGATTCCATTGGTGGTTATGTCCAGGCATACTGAAGATTGAGTCCAGAGTGTGAGTCCAGACCTGTTTCACCATCTGGAAATTGTGCTGGATGAAAGGGACCACTAGGTTTGCGTAATCCTCGTGGACTAAAGGAGGTTTGAAGCCAAAGAAGACGTTGAGTGGCCTCGCACTGTTAGTGAACAAGATAAGGGTGTCAAAGGCTTACTTACACCATTCAGGGAAGGTAGAATCTCCAGGAAGACGGATGTTTGATTGACACAGTACAGAAACTCTTCCAAACTTGTGAGAAGAGCAGGATTTGATTGGTGATGCTGTGGAGCTGGAAAACAACCGTACAAAACAACTCTATGTTCTGCGGTTTCAGTGGAAGGTGTTTGGTCAGTCATCTTTTAGAAAAAGGGTTTCTTATGGAGAAAATAACATTTTTCTCATGTGATGGAAATAGGCAGTAAGTAGGGGTTGGCTGGGAGTTGCTTGGAGCAGCACAGAACCTGCTTTACTGCTGGACTTTTATCTGAAGCAGATTGTAAGGCCACCAAAAGTGGTGTTTCAATGGAAATATAGCAGAGCAGCTTCCTGGGTGACACATGAACCTGGAAGTGTGAATCCCATGGAGAACAGTGGATTGAGCAGAAGAGGCAATGGACTGGTGATTAGCTGAAACTTTACTTGGGTTCAACATCACAGAAAGACCCTGTTGAATCTGGGATTCCAGCTGCCAATTCACTGGGCATTGGTGAGCCCAAAGCAGCAGAGGGCAATATTAACCCAGTCTTCTATTTACCAAGGATCTTGCCCAGATGGTATAAATTCTTGACATCTAATTTGGATAAAACAGTGGTTCCTTTGATAGACTTGAAGGCTGATGTGAAACGTGTCAGGGAATACTTATTTAAATGGTTATCTGGTTTAGCCCTTGATAGTCAATGGCGGTGAGTGTTTTTTTTAAGCCAAGAAAAAGCCAGCCATGACTGGAAAGGAAGAGAACAAAGTATTGGACAGAATCCCGTTATATAAAGTCACATTGTTGATTAATCGTATCATTTTGTGTGCAGGGCTAAACCATGTTGTATCGTATCAGCTGGGGGCCTTGCTGTATTCTTAACGTATCGTATCGCTGGCAGCGTATGAAGATGCATACTGAATCAGCCTCAGTGGTAGAGATTCACATCCCTATTGTAGACTGGTTTCCACTAACATACTGATCACACGTGGGCTTCCAGTGGAGTGTAAGATTAACTGTGTGGTTCTGCTATATGTGATTAGAGTCATGAGAGCTCAGTGCAGAATGTCAGAGATATAGTTACAGTTTTTTTCATAGTAAATGCAACAACGTTGATTTATATTGACTATGAATTCAAATTTCAAATTCAAATTTAACATATCAAGGTCATAAATGTGTTGTATAATGACTCTTACTTATACAGCTAAAACACCAGAATCAAAATAGTTTGTACAAATCAAAGTTTCTGATCCTGGGTTCCAGGTGTCTCTGTAACTGGCACTAACCTTTATCCTCTCTCTGAATCTGTTGATTAAGCCAATTATACGAGGCTTCTAAGTAATTGGATTTTATTAATTAGCTCTCTTTTTTCAGTCACAGCTCTGGTGGGACATTGCATTATCTCTATATCTAAATTTAGTTATTTATTTGCTTAAATTAGAAATATTAAATAGATTGGTATGAAATCTGGTTGTAATTAATACCAAGCAGACTGTTAGAGGGATGAATTGTCCTGATAGGACTCCTCGTTGATTTGCCTATGAATGACTTAAGAAACTCTGAACCTTGGAACATTGGATATATGTGGTGTAAATGTGTAATGCTTAATGTTCTCTTTTTGACAGCATGGGGTTCTGCCACATTTGAGAAGGATTCCTGCTCATTTCTGCCTATTAAAGCACCAAATGTTTTCAGCCTCTCAGAAAAGTGGTACAGTGAATTCTGTCTCACATTAGGCAAGAGAGGCGTGTAATCTATGCTGCTTTTGTCCCATGCTTGTCTTTGGGAGAGGGTTTTGGGGGTTTGAAAGAACAAGGATCAGACAAGATTAGTTTAAGCTCTCTGCTAGGACTAAAATGTTGATGGAATTACTAAACAGGAATACATTGTACAATACAGTTATGCTCTCCTCTTCTTAGGGAAAGAACTGGAACAACTGAGAAATAGTGATGTGATGGTGCAGCAGCAAATGTAATCATGCCACACAGCATGTGAGCTGCAGCTGGCAAGGTTAACATAGCCCTCAGTGTCCCTCAGAGTGGGTGCATATATGCATACATGTGCATTAACTGATGCTGTGTGCTGTAGTAGTAGCTGTACAGATGGGGAAAACAGCAGCAGCTGTGGCTCCAAATGGGTTACTATTAATAGCAAACTAGTAAGAAAAGTAAAACTATTAGATAAGTTTTACTCGATGTAAACACTACTTTAGAACATTTTATCTTGAAAACAGCAGGTTGGAAGAAGGAAAGAAAATCTGAAAATGAATGCGTTTTTTTCTGTGGATTTATCTGCTAGACATCAGTCAGTTTGAGTGATGGCTACAGTAACAGGGAGAGAAATGAACTCTGGGTAAATGTGAAACCTCTGCCCTCTGACCTGTGTGCTGGATTCCTCAGAAGATCAAATCTGAATCATATGAAACATCTCAGTTGTAGATGGCCAACTTTGATAATGGAAAGGGGCACTAAATGATGATTTTTCTGCATCTAGCAGACATTTTATCCAAAGCAACTTACAACGCAGATACAACATTACAGTTAGCATCAACCTGACAACGAGCTACATAAAACAACATCACTGGTCCGAGGTTGGAGGTTAGACACCATCCTCCTGTATGAAATAAATGGGACATCAAATACCCTGGTATGGGTCAAAAGCCATGCAGTAGTGGTCAGATATACTCCAGTGGTCTTTCTGTTCCACTGTCTATGGGACTAACTGACTGATTGGAAAGTGTCTCTCTTCCCACTGCCTTTTACTTTGAATGGTTTTGCAAGACTTCACAAAGTAATACAAGGATTTTGTGTTTCCATCTTCATTTAATTGTCTATACATTGTCTTATTCCTGGTAGGGCTGTGAGGGGGCTGTTGCTTTTTAATAGAATGACATTTATTTCTTAAAGATGAAAAGAACAAATTTTATTTCTTTATTTCTTTGATAATTTTTGGAGATACGGACAGAGAGTGTGCTGGGTACATACACCTAGATAAAGTTTCTGTCCTTCCAAAGACGGCTTCTCTGTGGCAGACTGTGACAGTGCCTCCGTGCATGCTCACACCCACACGGATGCTCTTTGCTCTGTCATCACGTGATCAGGGTCATTTTCTTTTGGAGACACTCCACACACTCACTCACCTCTAAACACTGACACAACAACACCCACGCATGCCATGCACACACACACAGACTGCAGGGTAAATTACCTTCTGAGATCCTGGTTCTCTTTTACTTGGAGACAGTGGATGGCACACTCAGCCCCCACCATGTTCTCATGATGTAACAGCCAGATCATATATGCCCAGTGGTGGATTTGGGGGTTTGGTTCTCATGTAAATGAAGAAGGATTTTGAACTTCATAAATGAGACATACATAATAGGTTAGAAGACCACTCAGCATTCTTGGATTGGTTCAAAGCAATATTGAATACTTTGAAGCAGAAATTTCAGGAATCACTCTGGGATTTCCCAGAATGCAGAAGTCCACCCATTCATCCCTTTAAACAAATTAATTCCATTTCACAGACAGTGGGTTAGGGTCACCGGGCTGCCAAAGTACACACAAAACCTACATGCAGAATTGCAGGATGTCCCTGAAAGCCAGGTTTTTGTGAGACAATAAGGGACACAAATGAGTGCTCTGAATTGGTACAACTGCTCAGTGTAGAAACATGAGATCTGACATTTTAGAATATGTGATTCCTGCACTTTGATGAGGAAACTGCTTTGACATTGTGCTCGTTAAAATGATTTGTCAGAAATGATTTGCTCTCTATTTCTAACTTGTTCAGAAATTACATTAAATGTGTTTGAGCGGATGTTCTCAACATAACGTCAAAATGTTTTTGCCCATTTGTATGATGCAACAGTAAAAACAGTTGGATCATAAGTGTTAGTTAGTGTTCATAGTCCTAATAGCAGCTTCCTCAAACACAACAAAATGTTCAGCACAACTCTCACACCTATTTCTGTTCCTTTAGTTTTACGGTGTCTTGCACAGCAGATGATGGAGTCCTGTGCCTTCACCTGGCTTAAGCACACCTTGTCAGATGTCTATGTTTTCAGCCATTTTCTTTCCATAGAGTCATAGAATGATTGTCTCTATGGAAAGTGAGTGGCCGACTTTAAGCCATTCCACGTTTTATAGTTGAGATTCTTCAGTAAGAATGTGCTATAAAATGACT